TTGTAGAACTTATTGGAAACTCAAGACAGCCATAACATTATGATTTTTTACAAGTGTATGTACACTTTTGACCACAACTGTATGTGGAGATTCAGCTTCAGCTGTTTTCATTTTTGTTCTCCTTTCCTACTTCGCTCCAAATTATGTTATCTGTGAGAAGGATATTACAAAAATATATCTATAAAATACAATATTTGTTTTACTGTAGATTTGCTTAATCATAAAGTTTATAATTTTTAAAGCTGCTATCTCCTTTGACTGCCTTAAGATGAGACTACAACCATAGCTTTCCTCTTTAGTTGTAATGGATGACAACACCATGGAGAATGAAGCATGGTGAGATATTCCAAAACATTTTAGGCAGCAAATTTCACTTGCTTGTTTTAATGCTATAAAAAATGATTGTTGTTTTCCTTAAGTAATCACAGTAGTTATCAGATTGACCTTTACAGTTTCCTGATGTACTTTGTGTTGTTCCTGTCCATATTCAATTTCAATTCTTCTTTTTTTAGATTTCTCTTCTGTGATACAGTGACTCCCACTAACCATGAACAATGGAGCCAACATCAGAGTTTTATCCCAAAGGCAGAGTGACGCAAGCGTCAGTTCAAGTCTCCCTTTACCTCAGACCATGATGCCTCTGCCAAAGATGGATTCCAAACAGTACAGCAGCCTCCCCGTTCCCACAGTGCAGTATCAGCTCTCCTCCAGACGACAACTTGCATATTCTTCATCATCTGTTTCCTCAGATCCTGCAGACGTGGTGAGAGGCAAAGTTTTAAAAGCTAACCTAATGCAGCAAAAGATCGGTATGCATTCTAACAGAGGCCCAGTCGGTACAGAGCGAAGCGATGGAACATGTTCGGCATACAGCAGCCCTCAGGTTGCAAAAAGAGACGTTCCACGTTCCAAAGACACACTGGACCTGCGAAACAGTGTATTGACACACAAGGCTTTGAGAGACCTACAGCTAAGGAGAAACACCAATAAGAACTGGACTTTTGGAAAGAGTCGTCTAAGGAGTCTAGACAACGCACAAGAGGGGGACACCTTACTGAAGCACTCAGCTAACTTTTATCCAGACCGAGAACGAGATTGTTTCCTTTATACCAAAGGGACAAACGGGAATGAAAGATCACGTCCTTCTGCTGCTGGACAGGAGCACTTCCAAAGAGAAGTGAGGAACATCTCAAACCAGGACTTGGGAGGTTTTGTGGGAGATTTTCTTGGTAATAAACCAAAAGATTCTTACCAGAAGTTTAACATGAAACGAAGAGGGAGCGAGCCAGGAAAAATCAACATGGCTGCTGTTGCTCCATTTAGGTTCAGGTGAGGGCAGTATTTCACCTTTTTTTAAATTAGAATGATGAGCTCATATATTAAATTTTGGATTGAAATTTGATTTTAGCGCCTCCTAAGCCTTTAAATAAAGAAAGCTAAATATAGACTTATTTTATGATATGTTGTTTGAGCTGTTCTTTTTGTTTGACTACAGGTTTCAGGTCAGTGAGGATACAGATGCTACACTTGATGATCTGAGTGACTGCTCCTCTGATTCCATGGAGGTCTGCTGTGATGAGTTAGGTGAGTCTGATGCCTTTGGCAATTCATATTTGGGAATATTTGGCTCACTCAAGGTTATGAGGCAGAGGCAGTCTTTTACAAGAATCTGTGTGGTTTCAGAAATTTCACAGGTTTTCTCTAAGTTTTTTTCTTCTATTGAAAGGTAAAATGAATCCCTTGAAAAAGGAATACTTCTTCCCACAAATTAAAGTGATGTGTCTTTAAGGCCCTTCAGTACTATTATTACATATTGTTCTGCTATTGCAATTTTTCACTCAATTCAAAAATAGCAAGGGGAAATTTGAATATATGCATTGAAGAGTAAGTGTTGTAAATCTGCAAATGTGAAGCATCTGTGCTTTTAGAATAAAGTAGTCACTTCTGGAACTTCATTGGGGCAGCTTTTCTTAAATAGAGATAAAGGAGGAGAAATAAAGTAGGATGACCCTGGAATAAAACAAAAGAGACAACAAAAACCTTCATTGGTGGTTAAATTCACCTCCCAAAAGGAAAATTAGCCAGCGTTTTAATTGAGTGGTTTAGATCAAAGCCCATTTAAGTCAGAATTGCCTAGTCAATAAAATATATATGGCAGGTCTTAAAATTTGCTATTCACTGATGTTCTTCGAATTCTATTGTGAAGAAGACAATCCCATTCTATATACCTGCAAGGTGAGGATATATAGTTGTAATTGCAGTGAAATGTGGTTCTATTAGCATTGAGGTTGTGTGATACAATATGAAAATTTTCAAGGGCTATTTATACCCAAGTACGAACACTTGAAAATTCTTCTTAGATGTTCAAGGTACTTTCCCCATTCCTCTACTAATCCCAAAGAAGTTTATTAGAAGAAAACAAATAATTTTACACACTTCACTGAGGTCAGCCAGTTGGTTATGCAGAACACAGTTTTTCCATTTGTGTTTTATTGCATCCTGTAACACCCAAACTTTTACAAGGCTCACTGCTGACTGTTCAGCATGGCTGTTTTTCTCTCAATGTCTGCCTTCGACACACAGCCAAAGCTTCACGCTGGATGTGCTGTCTGTTTTGTCCATCAGGGTTTCCTAAAATACTCCACGTCTTTCTGCACTTAGAAATTAAAAAGAAGAAGAAAAAAAGAGAGTACTGGTAAATGGCAGATTTCTCAGAACCACAAGGCACTCTTAATGCAATATTTTCTTTTTGTCTTTTATATTGTTTGTTTGTTTTTGGCAGGGCTGAGAAAACATTAAAAGCTAAATATGAACCATGTTGCAACTCTGCAATCCACACAATTTACAAATCCAATTACAAATTCAGTTTGTATTTGTCTTGGTCAATACTTGCTAATGTTATTAAATGAATTCAAATCACAATTAGCCAAAGGACCTGAGACAATCCAATCAATTAAGTTTAATTATAAAAGGAGATTACAAGCCTACTGTAAATCAAGGAAATTGATTTAATGTTTGAGACCTCCCATAAAAGAATTAGCCAAAGGATAGATTTAGCATTTTACAGTGTTGCAAACCAACTGTAATTGGATCAAGCAACTATGATAACATTTTGAAAACTAAATGCAGTGGTTTACTTACAGTTTTCAAAATGGTTTTATAGTGGCTTGATCCAGTTATAGTTGGTTTGCAACATATATATACGTATATATATATTTATAGATATAGATAGATAGATAATTCAAATGTATACTGAGGTACTGTAGTTCTTGCCCAATTTAAAATAAAATGTTGCAGTATTAAAGCTGTGAGATATGCAAAGGTCTTATTGCAACAATAACATATTTTATAAACATCAATAAAACTTAAAACTTGATCGCAACAAGCTCTAAAAAGTTGTCATTGCCCTTATTCACAGTCTAATTAAATGAAACATAAAAATGTATTTTAATGAATTCCAGAATTGCAGACTGCAGTGTTTCAGGCTATCGCTTGTGTGTTGGTTTTTAGTGTGTGTAATCCATGGAGGAGAGGTTAGAAATGATGATCCTCTCTGCCATTTTGATGACTCCCTGCAGTAATTTCCTCCCACCCTGGGTTCTCTTGCTCTCCCCCCATGTAATTCCACCATAAAGAATGCTCTAAAATATATCTTCTGCAGATTCAGGTGATCTCTCTTGTGGTTGTAAAATGGTTTTAATGTACCAAAAAGCACTCTATAAGAGCAACAGTGTTTAAAAGATATGGATCATGTGTTAATTTGATCCATAGCTAGATAGATAGCTAGCTAGATAGATAGCTAGCTGGCTAGATAGATAGATAGATAGATAGATAGATAGATAGATAGATAGATAGATAGATAGATAGATTGATTGATTGATTGATTGATTGATTGATTGGGTATTGGGTTAATGTCCACAAATAACATGCTAACCTGTATGGCCTCTCAGGTGACGCAAAATTGCTGAATGTGTGTGTGCAACACCGTTGCTCTGGTGGAGTTTGTCTACTTGTCGATGCGTTCTCCTTTGTCATTAGAACTACATAAAGCATAATAGCATTTTTTTTTCTTTTAGGTTTGCATCACGTTATCATGTATTTTCTCATCAAGAACATATCTGTATAATCATGCATGTTTGAGAAATTTTTGGTATAGTCATTTGGGTTTGTAAAACTCTTGGTGGGACAAAGTGCTGCCTTTGAGGACATAGCTCCTCCTCAGAGTTTCCAAACGTCAGAGAGCACTCCTCCCCTTCTACTCCTCCACTAAGCTCCTTCAGACTAGCCAGCATTAATTAGAAAACACCTGGTGGAACTGAACATCTGCTGAGCTCATTATATAAACTATTACTCAGTCCAATGTTCCCATAAATTTTTATAGATGGTTAATAGAGGAATGTTAACTTGATGACGTGCTGAAGGCGGAGTGTTGGAAAGCACAAAAACTCTTTAAAGAGACAGAGGCCCAATTTCAAAGCATTAAGTTGCAAAATCAAATTTCCTTTAAGTCATGTCTGATTTGTACAGCATTTTTGTAACAAGTGAAGGTGACATAATTACTTTATTGTGCTATAAAATTATACAATGTTGCTGGAAAAAAATACTGAAGATTGCCCCATTAGAACTGTGAATGACATGTATTATCACAACAGACAGTGTTTTTTAGTTATATTATGTAATTACATAATTAACTGCGCAAATTGTGTTTTAAATTAATGTCACAATTAACACCACGTCTGAGGTAATTGGGAATACATTGAAATCAGAATATTTTAACGACATGTCTGGTATAATATTTGTGCCTGATGACCTCACCTCTTTGCACTGAGGAGCATGAAAGCCTCTAACAGACATCCTAATTATCTTAGTGACTGAAGGCCGAGAGCCTCCAGCCAGTCTCCTCTGGGAGAGACCAGACAAACAAATGAGCTGTCCTTCAAAGAGAATGGACAGCTTTAGGGCTGAGACTGACTATTTTGATGGGCAGATCGGATTTCATGTCTGGAACTAAGAGCCTTTTTTTTCACAGTTGAGTGGTGAGATGTTTCTTGGTTAACCATCAATCTGGTGCCAAAGGTAAAATATGGACTTTTTATCTGTTGTTCTGAAAGGAAAGAAAAAACCACTCAGGCATGATCTCTTTGAAATGAATTATTGATGGTAGGAAGGCTCAGTTGTTGCAGTCAAATTAATCACTCTTTAACCTGTTTGAATTAATTTTTCTGTTATTTCCTGTGAATTTTCTTTTACATAGTGAAAGTGATGGAAGCAAAATAAATTAAAGCTCCG